ATTTTATATAGAATTTTTCAATCATCGTATATATGATTTGAAATGCAACGGTTCATATCCCTTAGTAATGGAATTGAATGATAATGATGCGTGGAGTATATTTGAGGTAAACTTGTGCTTTTTAAAATAAACATTTTAATCCGTTTGTGGCGTTTAAAAAACTTTTATTAATTTTTTCATCATTACATTTGTTAAAACTCTTTACCTTACACTTATAATAATAGTATATAGAATTGCACTTTTATAAATTTGCTACATAAATAAATAGCGCCATTGTTTATATCTATATACGTCATTATCACTATTAAGACTTGAATCATACAGTTATTGTTTATATGTTCTAATTGTAAACCCAAAACCATATAGGTTTGTATACCTATGTAAGTAAAAACAAGTAAGGAAATATATTGGCCGACCATTTGATACCCTACATGAGCTATGTCTATATTTAATATTTTTTATAATAAAGCATCTATACTGTATTTCATCCTAATTCCAAAATGTTTAAGATAATTAATAGCGTTATAGAGCTTACGTTTGGACCCACCAGGTGCGCGACCAAAGGTCCCAGATTGCTCTATAGTCTAGTCCATAGTCTATTCTTGTCTAGTCTATATTCTAGACTATAGTCTGTCTATAGTCTAGTCTATAGTCTAGTCTATAGTCTAGTCATAGTCTAACCTATAGTCTAACCTATAGTCTAGTCTATAGTCTAGTCTATAGTCTAGTCTATAGTCTAGTCTATAGTCTAGTCTATAGTCTAGTCTATAGTCTAGTCTATAGTCTAGTCTATAGTCTAGTCTATAGTCTAGTCTATAGTCTAGTCTATAGTCTAGTCTATAGTCTAGTCTATAGTCTAGTCTATAGTCTAGTCTATAGTCTAGTCTATAGTCTAGTCTAGTCTATAGTCTAGTCTATAGTCCAGTCTAGTCTATAGTCTAGCCTATAGTCTAGTCTATAGTCTAGTCTATAGTCTAGTCTATAGTCTAGTCTATAGTCTAGTCTATAGTCTAGTCTATAGTCTAGTCTATAGTCTAGTCTATAGTCTAGTCTATAGTCTAGTCTATAGTCTAGTCTATAGTCTAGTCTATAGTCTAGCTATAGTCTAATCTATAGTCTAGTCTATAGTCTAGTCTATAGTCTAGTCTATAGTATAATCTATAGTCTAGTCTATAGTCTAGTCTAGTCTAGTCTATAGTCTAGTCTATAGTCTAGTCTATAGTCTAGTCTATAGTCTAGTCTATAGTCTAGTCTATAGTCTAGTCTATATAGTCTAGCCTATAGTCTAGAATATAGTCTAGTCTATATTCTAGTCTATAGGCTAGTCTATAGTCTAGTAGTCTAGTCTATAGTTTAGTCTAGTCTATAGTCTAGTCTAGTCTATAGTATAGTCTAGTCTAGTCTAGTCTAGTCTAGTCTAGTCTAGTCTAGTCTAGTCTAGTCTAGTCTAGTCTAGTCTAGTCTAGTCTAGTCTAGTCTAGTCTAGTCTAGTTAGTCTAGTCTAGTCTAGTCTAGTCTAGTCTAGTCTAGTCTAGTCTAGTCTAGTCTAGTCTAGTCTAGTCTAGTCTATAGTCTAGTCTAGTCTAGTCTAGTCTAGTTAGTCTAGTCTAGTCTAGTCTAGTCTAGTCTAGTCTAGTCTAGTCTAGTCTAGTCTAGTCTAGTCTAGTCTAGTCTAGTCTAGTCTAGTCTAGTCTAGTCTAGTCTAGTCTAGTCTAGTCTAGTCTAGTCTAGTCTAGTCTAGTCTATAGTCTAGTCTATAGTCTAGTCTAGTCTAGTCTAGTCTAGTCTAGTCTAGTCTAGTCTAGTCTAGTCTAGTCTAGTCTAGTCTAGTCTAGGCTAGTCTAGTCTAGTCTAGTCTAGTCTAGTCTAGTCTAGTCTAGTCTAGTCTATAGTCTAGTCTAGTCTAGTCTAGTCTATAGTCTAGTCTAGTCTAGTCTAGTCTAGTCTAGTCTAGTCTAGTCTAGTCTAGTCTAGTCTAGTCTAGTCTAGTCTAGTCTAGTCTAGTCTTAGTCTAGTCTAGTCTAGTCTAGTCTAGTCTAGTCTAGTCTAGTCTAGTCTAGTCTAGTCTAGTCTAGTCTAGTCTAGTCTAGTCTAGTCTAGTCTAGTCTAGTCTAGTCTAGTCTAGTCTAGTCTAGTCTAGTCTAGTAGTCTAGTCTAGTCTAGTCTAGTCTAGTCTAGTCTAGTCTAGTCTAGTCGTCTAGTCTAGTCTAGTCTAGTCTAGTCTAGTCTGTCTAGTCTAGTCTAGTCTAGTCTAGTCTAGTCTAGTCTAGTCTAGTCTAGTCTAGTCTAGTCTAGTCTAGTCTAGTCTAGTCTAGTCTAGTCTAGTCTAGTCTAGTCTAGTCTAGTCTAGTCTAGTCTAGTCTAGTCTAGTCTAGTCTAGTCTAGTCTAGTCTATAGTCTAGTCTAGTCTAGTCTAGTCTATAGTCTAGTCTAGTCTAGTCTAGTCTAGTCTAGTCTAGTCTAGTCTAGTCTAGTCTAGTCTAGTCTAGTCTAGTCTAGTCTAGTCTAGTCTAGTCTAGTCTAGTCTAGTCTATAGTCTAGTCTAGTCTAGTCTAGTCTAGTCTAGTCTATAGTCTAGACTAGTCTATAGTCTAGACTAGTCTATAGTCTAGACTAGTCTATAGTCTAGTCTATAGTCTAGTCTATAGTCTAGTCTATAGTCTAGTCTATAGTCTAGTCTATAGTCTAGTCTATAGTCTAGTCTATAGTCTAGTCTATAGTCTAGTCTATAGTCTAGTCTATAGTCTAGTCTATAGTCTAGTCTATAGTCTAGTCTATAGTCTAGTCTATAGTCTAGTCTATAGTCTAGTCTATAGTCTAGTCTATAGTCTAGTCTATAGTCTAGTCTATAGTCTAGTCTATAGTCTAGTCTATAGTCTAGTCTATAGTCTAGTCAATAGTCTAGTCTATAGTCTTGTCAATAGTCTAGTATAGTCTAGTCTATAGTCTAGTCTAGTCTATAGTCTAGTCTATAGTCTAGTCTATAGTCTAGTCTATAGTCTAGTCTATAGTCTAGTCTATAGTCTAGTCTATAGTCTAGTCTATAGTCTAGTCTATAGTCTAGTCTATAGTCTAGTCTATAGTCTAGTCTATAGTCTAGTCTATAGTCTAGTCTATAGTCTAGTCTATAGTCTAGTCTATAGTCTAGTCTATAGTCTAGTCTATAGTCTAGTCTATAGTCTAGTCTATAGTCTAGTCTATAGTCTAGTCTATAGTCTAGTCTATAGTCTAGTCTATAGTCTAGTCTATAGTCTAGTCTATAGTCTAGTCTATAGTCTAGTATAGTCTAGTCTATAGTCTAGTCTATAGTCTAGTTTTAGTCTAGTCATAGTATAGTCTATAGTCTAGTCTATAGTCTAGTCTATAGTCTAGTCTATAGTCTAGTCTATAGTCTAGTCTATAGTCTAGTCTATAGTCTAGTCTCTAGTCTAGTCTATAGTCTAGTCTATAGTCTATTCTATATTCTAGTCTATAGTCTAGTCTATAGTCTATTTTATAGTCTAGTCTATAGTCTAGTCTATAGTCTAGTCTGTAGTCTAGTCTATAGTCTAGTCTATAGTCTAGTCTATAGTCTAGTCTATAGTCTAGTCTATAGTCTAGTCTATAGTCTAGTCTCTAGTATAGTCTATAGTCTAGTCTATAGTCTAGTCTATAGTCTAGTCTATGTCTAGTCTATAGTCTAGTCTATAGTCTAGTCTATAGTCTAGTCTATAGTCTAGTCTATAGTATAGTCTATAGTCTAGTCTATAGTCTAGTCTATAGTCTAGTCTATAGTCTAGTCTATAGTCTAGTCTATAGTCTAGTCTATAGTCTAGTCTATAGTCTAGTCTATAGTCTAGTCTATAGTCTAGTCTATAGTCTAGTCTATAGTCTATTCTATAGTCTAGTCTATAGTCTAGTCTATAGTCTAGTCTGTAGTCTAGTATATAGTCTAGTCTGTAGCCTATTCTATAGTCTAGTCTATAGTCTAGTCTATAGTCTAGTCTATAGTCTAGTCTATAGTCTAGTCTATAGTCTAGTCTATAGTCTAGTCTATAGTCTAGTCTATAGTCTAGTCATAGTCTAGTCTATAGTCTAGTCTATAGTCTAGTCTATAGTCTAGTCTATAGTCTAGTCTATAGTCTAGTCTATAGTCTAGTCTATAGTCTAGTCTATAGTCTAGTCTATAGTCTAGTCTATAGTCTAGTCTATAGTCTAGTCTATAGTCTAGTCTATAGTCTAGTCTATAGTCTAGTCTATAGTCTAGTCTATAGTCTAGTCTATAGTCTAGTCTATAGTCTAGTCTATAGTCTAGTCTATAGTCTAGTCTATAGTCTAGTCTATAGTCTAGTCTATAGTCTAGTCTATAGTCTAGTCTATAGTCTAGTCTATAGTCTAGTCTATAGTCTAGTCTATAGTCTAGTCTATAGTCTAGTCTATAGTCTAGTCTATAGTCTAGTCTATAGTCTAGTCTATAGTCTAGTCTATAGTCTAGTCTATAGTCTAGTCTATAGTCTAGTATATAGTCTAGTCTATAGTCTAGTCTATAGTCTAGTCTATAGTCTAGTCTATAGTCTAGTCTATAGTCTAGTCTATAGTCTAGTCTATAGTCTAGTCTATAGTCTAGTCTATAGTCTAGTCTATAGTCTAGTCTATAGTCTAGTCTATAGTCTAGTCTATAGTCTAGTCTACAGTCTAGTCTATAGTCTAGTCTATAGTCTAGTTTATAGTCTAGTCTTGTTTGTTATTTCCATAATGCAAATATTTTAACTTTTAGAATGGCACTCTATTAGTACGCTACACAAATGAGTATCGAAGTCAAGAGGAATATTGTTTTAATTTTACGAAATTGAAGATATTGGGGGTGTCCTTTTACCCTATGTCTGCCCAAAGTCAACGACCGTAAACTACTGGATATTGTTAAAATATGGGTATGTTTCCGTTATAGTTAATTTTATACCATTTGCTATTTTTGTATTGCAATTAAAATTTTATATATTTTAAGCAATGGCATGCTCAGTTCCATTCTTTCTTATCACCATAATTTTTTATTGTTCCCTGCCGGAATTGAGAAATTGTCATGGAAATGTTTTATTATGTATCTGCTATATCTGACTATTACGTACTCTTTAATTTGTTACAATACTTTGTCTTACGTACAAATTGGTTTCTATGAATGTATAACCATTGGTGAGTTATGAAGATTACTTTATCTGTTTGGAGTAGAGCCTTCTAATTATTTTCATTCTTTTTCTTTTAGGTTATGTCATTTACTTTGGTACAATTGCCTTTTTAACCTGGATAAGTATCATCAGTTACGATACCTATGTCAGTCTTACGGACTTAGATTGTACAACATTATTTCGTAGATATTTCAAATGGGGCTTTGTTATACCTGGTGCAATTACATTTATAATAATTGTAATACAATCGTTGAAAATTATTGATGAAAAATATAAGCCGGGCATAGATAATGATAGTTGTGGAGTTAGAGGTTAGTTGTTAAGATTTTTTAATTGATATATAAATAAATTAAAATTTTATGTTTTGATTTACAGTTAACCGCTGGTCGGCATTTTTTTATTACTATATACCTCATATTATTGTATTAGTTTATTGTACTATTATGTATTTAAAACTGATTAGATTTTTGGTGCTGAATGAAAGAAACGCAACTGTATTTGCTGGCAGATTGAAAACAACCTTATATGAAAAGGTAAGACTAATGTTTGATACCAATAATTTTCACAGATGGTGGTCCTAGACCTACATATCCTCTAAGATATTAATCACTCCCACTAGAACAGAATGTAGTCTGAAATTTATAGAAGTCTAGTCTATAGTCAAGTCTATGGTCTAGTTTATGTTCTGGACTATATTCTAGTCTATAGCCTAGTCTATAGTGTAGTCTATAGTCTAGTCTATAGTCTAGTCTATAGTATAGTCTATAGTATAGACTATAGTCTAGTCTATAGTCTAGTCTATAGTCTAGTCTATAGTCTAGTCTATAGTCTAGTCTATAGTCTAGTCTAGTCTATAGTCGAGTCTCTAGTCTAGTCAATAGTCTAGTCTATAGTCTAGTCTATAGTCTAGTCTATAGTCTAGTCTCTAGTCTAGTCAATAGTCTAGTCTATAGTCTAGTCTATAGTCTTGTCTATAGTCTAGTCTATAGTCTAGTCTATAGTCTAGTCTATAGTCTAGTCTATATCCTAGTCTATAGTCTAGTCTAGTCTATAGTCGAGTCTATAGTCTAGTCAATAGTCTAGTCTATAGTCTAGGCCAGTCTATAGTCTATTCTATAGTCTAGTCTTTAGTCTAGTCAATAGTCTAGTCTATAGTCTAGTCTATAGTCTAGTATATAGTCTAGTCTATAGTCTGGTATAAAGTCTAGTCTATAGTCTAGTCTATAGTCTAGTCTATAGTCTAGTCTATAGTCTAGTCTATAGTCTAGTCTATAGTCTAGTCTATAGTCTAGTCTATAGTCTAGTCTATAGTCTAGTTTATAGTCTAGTCTATAGTCTAGCCTAGTCTATAGTCTGGTCTATAGTTTAGTCTATAGTCTAATTTATCTATAGTAAAGTCTATATTCAATTCTGTAGTCTAGTCTTTAGTCTAGTCTATAGTCTAGTATATAGTCTAGTCTAGTCTATAGTCTAGTCTATAGACTCGTCTATAGGCTAGTCTATAGTCTAGGTCTATAGTCTAGTCTATAGTCTAGTCTATAGTCTAGTCTATAGTCTAGTCTATAGTATAGTCTATAGTCTAGTCTATAGTCCTAGTCTATAGTCTAGTCTATAGTATTGTCTATAGCATAGTCTATAGTCTAGTCTATAGTCAAGTCTATAGTCTAACCTATAGTCTAGTCTATAGTCTAGTCTATAGTCTAGTCTATAGTCTAGTCTATAGTTAGTCTAGTCTATAGTCTAGTCTATAGTTCTAGTCTATAGTCTAGTCTATAGTCTAGTCTATAGTCTAGTCTATAGTCTAGTCTATAGTCTAGTCTATAGTCTAGTCTATAGTCTAGTCTATAGTCTAGTCTAGTCTAGTCTAGTCTATAGTCTAATCTAGTCTAGTCTATAGTCTAGTCTATAGTCTAGTCTATAGTCTAGTCTATAGTCTAGTCTATAGTCTAGTCTATAGTCTAGTCTATAGTCTAGTCTATAGTCTAGTCTATAGTCTAGTCTATAGTCTAGTCTATAGTCCTAGTCTAGTATAGTATAGTCTATAACATAGTCTATAGTCTAGCCTATAGTATAGTCTACAGTCCTAGTCTATAGTCTAGTCTAGTCTAGTCTATAGTCTAGTCTATAGTCCAGTCTATAGTCTAGTCTATAGTCCAGTCTATAGTCTAGTCTATAGTCTAGTCTATTGTCTAGTCTATAGTCTATAGTCCTAGTCTATAGTCTAGTCTATAGTCTAGTCTATAGTCTAGTCTATAGTCTAGTCTATAGTCTAGTCTATAGTCTAGTCTATAGTCTAGTCTATAGTCTAGTCCTATAGTCTAGTCTATAGTCTAGTCCTATAGTCTAGTCTATAGTCTAGTCTATAGTCTAGTCTATAGTCTAGTCTATAGTCTAGTCTAGACTAGTCTATAGTCTAGTCCATAGTATAGTCTATAGTCAAGTCTATAGTCTAGTCTATAGTCTAGTCTATAGTCTAGTCTATAGTCTAGTCTATAGTCTAGTCTATAGTCTAGTCTATAGTCTAGTCTATAGTCTAGTCTATAGTATAGTCTATAGCATAGTCTATAGTCTAGCCTATAGTATAGTCCACAGTCTATTCTATAGTCGAGTCTATAGTCTACTCTTTAGTCTTTATTTTAGTCTAATTTTCGGTCTAGTTTTCCTTTTCACAATCAAAATCTTTAGACTATAGGACTAGACTATAGTCTATAGTCTAGTCTATAGTTTTAGTCTATAGTCTAGTCTATAGTCTAGTCTATGGTCTAGTCTATAGTCTAGTCTATAGTCTAGTCTATAGTATAGTCTATAGCATAGTCTATAGTCTAGCCCATAGTATAGTCTATAGTCAAGTCTATAGTCTAGGTCTATAGTCTAGTCTATAGTCTAGTCTATAGTCTAGTCTATAGTCTAGTCTATAGTCTAGTCTATAGTCTAGTCTATAGTCTAGTCTATAGCATAGTCTATAGTCTAGCCTATAGTATAGTCTACAGTATAGTCTTTAGTCTAGTCTATAGTCTAGCTCTATAGTCTAGTCTATAGTCTAGGCTATAGTCTAGTCATAGTCTAGTCTATAGTCTAGTCTATAGTCTAGTCTATAGTCTAGTCTATAGTCTAGTCTATAGTCTAGTCTATAGTCTAGTCTATAGTCTAGTCTATAGTCTAGTCTATAGTCTAGTCTATAGTCTAGTCTATAGTCTAGTCTATAGTCTAGTCTATAGTCTAGTCTATAGTCTAGTCTATAGTCTAGTCTATAGTTCTAGTCTATAGTCTAGTCTATAGTCTAGTCTATAGTCTAGTCTATAGTCTAGTCTATAGTCTAGTCTATAGTCTAGTCTATAGTCTAGTCTATAGTCTAGTCTATAGTCTAGTCTATAGTCTAGTCTATAGTCTAGTCTATAGTCTAGTCTATAGTCTAGTCTATAGTCTAGTCTATAGTCTAGTCTATAGTCTAGTCTATAGTCTAGTCTATAGTCTAGTCTATAGTCTAGTCTATAGTCTAGTCTATAGTCTAGTCTATAGTCTAGTCTATAGTCTAGTCTAGTCTAGTCTATAGTCTAGTCTATAGTCTAGTCTATAGTCTAGTCTATAGTCTAGTCTATAGTCTAGTCTATAGTCTAGTCTATAGTCTAGGCTATAGTCTAGTCTATAGTCTAGTCTATAGTCTAGTCTATAGTCTAGTCTATAGTCTAGTCTATAGTCTAGCCTATAGTCTAGTCTATAGTCTAGTCTATAGTCTAGTCTATATTCTAGTCTATAGTCTAGTCTATAGTCTATATTCTAGTCTATAGTATATATTCTAGTCTATAGTCTAGTCTTTAGTCTAGTCTATAGTCTAGTCTATAGTCTAGTCTATAGTCTAGTCTATAGTCTAGTCTATAGTCTAGTCTATAGTCTAGTCTATAGTCTAGTCTATAGTCTAGTCTATAGTCTAGTCTATAGTCTAGTCTATAGTCTAGTCTATAGTCTAGTCTATAGTAGTTCTAGTCTAGTTATGTCTAGTCTATAGTCTAGTCTATAGTCTAGTCTATAGTCTAGTCTATAGTCTAGTCTATAGTTCTAGTCTATAGTCTAGTCTATAGTCTAGTCTATAGTCTAGTCTATAGTCTAGTCTATAGTCTAGTCTATAGTCTAGTCTATAGTCTAGTCTATAGTCTAGTCTATAGTCTAGTCTATAGTCTAGTCTATCGTCTAGTCTATAGTCTAGTCGATAGTCTAGTCTATAGTCTAGTCTATAGTCTAGTCTATAGTCTAGTCTATAGTCTAGTCTATAGTCTAGGTCTATAGTCTAATCTAGTCTAGTCTATAGTCTACTTTAAGTCTTTATTTAGTATAATTTTCAGTCTAGTTTTCCTTTTCACAATCAAAATCTGTTTCATTTATTTGTGTGATTTTTAGATTTTCCCTCTATTTTCGTTTGTTCATATTTATGGGTGTTGTTTGGTTTTTGGAAATACTATCATATCTTGTGGAAATGTTAATAGGTCCAAATATATTTATTATTATACCGGACTTGTTTAATGCCCTGCATGTAAGTTATCAAACTAAATTGTTAAGTATCTTACAATATCAGCTTTTAATTTATTTTTCAGGGATTATTTATATTTTTTAGCATTTTCAATTCGCGTATTTATAGATTTTTAAGAAAAGGTTTGTTTTAACAAGATTTTAAAATAATTTATTCAAAAATTTCAGTTCGTATTTCCTATTTCTTTTATTAGATGTTTACCTAAACGTTACTCTAGGCAAACTGAACTGACAAGAAGAACTTTTGATTCAAGCTCATCAACTTGACAACAGTATTATTTTATTTTAAATTAGCATAAGTTTTTTATTTTTAATTAATTACCCTTAACAGTTAATAATAGGAAAAACAAGTAAAATTTAGTATTTGTAGGTTTGTGCTAAGTCGCAAAAAACGATCCTTCTGAAGCCGTCAATTTGAATACTAAGAACAAATATTATGTTAAAAATTTTTCCTGGTATGAAACCAATTAGAAAACACACCTTTTCTGTTATATTGTGATGAGTACATAATTTAGCATTTACTTTACTTAACGGATACATAAATTTTAATTAATCTCAAAACAATTTGTATCTATAAATGTGTCTCCTTATAAGCTGCCATTCATCATCCATCCATTCAATTACTTTTGCATACAAAACATCATGTTCATTCAATTACGGCTATTTTAAGCTGCTTTGGTCAAAGATAAACCATAAAATTATGAAAGGCAGACAGACAAACATTTTGATGGACAGACGGCAGATACTTTGCTGCCACATACATATATACATATTTAAAGAGAGAGATTATGATAATAAACAATTTGTGTATTTTATCTCTAACAATTAATTGAAATCTGTTTTTTGACAATTTGTGCTTTTGTATAAAAGTATCTGAAGGTTAGTTCGTATTTTGGGACTTAAATGACACGAAGATATGTATGTTCAGGTTAGGTGCTGAGGGTCTTTAAGTGGACCGAAACATGAAAAAACGACTTCTATTTATAGGACAGACTAACTAACTAACTACTAACTAACTAACTAACTAACTAACTAACTAACTAACTAACTAACTACTAATAACTAACTAACCTACTAACTAACTAACTAACTAACTAACTAACTACTACTAACTAACTAACTAACTAACTAACTAACTAACTAACTAACTAACTAACTAACTAAACTAACTAACTACTAACTAACTACTAACTAACTAACTACTAACTAACTAACTAACTAACTAACTAACTAACTAACTAACTACTAACTAACTAACTACTAACTAACTAACTAACTAACTAACTAACTAACTAACTAACTAACTAACTAACTAACTAACTAACTAACTAACTAACTACTACTAACTAACTAACTAACTAACTAACTAACTAACTACTAACTAACTAACTAACTAACTAACTACTAACTAACTAACTAACTAACTAACTAACTAACTAACTACTAACTACTAACTCAACTAACTAACTAACTAACTAACTAACTAACTAACTAACTAACTAACTACTAACTAACTAACTAACTACTAACTAACTAACTAACTAACTAACTAACTACTACTACTAACTAACTAACTAACTAACTAACTAACTACTAACTAACTACTAACTAACTAACTAACTAACTAACTAACTACTAACTAACTAACTACACTAACTAACTAACTACTAACTAACTAACTAACTAACTAACTAACTAACTAACTACTACTAACTAACTAACTACTACAACTAACTACTAACTAACTAACTAACTAACTAACTATTAACTAACTACTAACTAACTAACTAACTAACTAACTAACTAACTCTATCTAATTGAAATCTGGAATAAATTATATTTATAGTCGCGAATTTAGTCGAGTCCGTAGTCTTGACTCTTGTCTCTTCGATAGTCTGCAGTATATAATATTCTATAGTAGTAGTATTGCCTATAATCTATTCCATACTCTGGAAAAAGTTCTAGTCCATAGTCTGCACAAGAGTCTGTAGCCTGGAACATAGACTAATCTATGTGGTCTTGTATATAGTCTTTGCTATAGTTTAGTCGATAGCCTGCACTAAAGTCTGGTATATATTTCGGACTATAATCTAGTCTGTGTCGGGACTATAATCTAGTTTACAGTATGGGCTACAGTTGTGGGTATAGATTAACTATATTCTAGTCTATAGCCTGGATTGCTCCTGTCTAGGTTATAGTGTGAACTAAGGGTCAGTCTGTAATATAGTCTAGTCTATAGTGTGGACTATAGTGTACTCTGAAGTCTGAATTATATTCTAGTGTAAAATCTGGTCTATATTACAGTCTTTAGGCTAGCTATAGTCCAGACTATAGTCCATAGCCCAGTCTAAGTCTGGTCTATATTAACTATAAAATAGTTTGTTATTCTGACTATAATTTAGTATGTAGTCTGGACTGTATTCAGGTCTATAATTCATGCTAGTCTTTAGTTTAATATATATAAATATATGTTCTATAGACTATTATTTTATCTTAACTATAGAGTAACAAGGCATTGCAGAACTATCAAGTATGTATTGTTCTTTCATCAGAATCTCCAAATTAAAATTCGTTCAATCTTATGGGAATGTATCATTAAATTAGTTTAAATTACCAAGATTTTGTTTGTACATTTTGCAATTTCCGGTAGTTTTTAAATTCGATTCGATTCGACCAATAAATTGGTAATTTATTGAATTTCAAACAAATTAAAACAATATTGTTTGTTGCTATTGCCAGTTCTCTTGAGTTGCTAATAATTGAAAGTAAAGAGAATAATCTTCAAAAGGGGGGCAGGTAGGGGGAACTACGTAGTCATATAAATAATTTGTAGAAAAAAAATTACTGTAAATAAATGACCCCTATAAACAATTTTAATATTTAAACAATTTAAGAGCAGTAAATATTGTTTTAACAATGGGAGTAAAATCAAAACAAGAGATCAATAACGAGAGAGTGCGTTAAAAAGAGAGACCAAATATGAGTGAATATTTAACAAAAATACAACACATAGATACACACATATACTTACAGATACATAGATAACAAACAAAAGCAACAACAATACGAATAAAAGATACAAAATAATAAAAACAAAATAACAATAAATAAACAGCATCCGTTGAATGCAAATAGTACAACAACAACCAACTGCAAAAATTTATAACGCAAAAAACAATAGCGAACTAACAAAACGAAAGAACGCATACCACGGAATAAGTTTGTGTTAGAGTTTAGTTTGATGGATTTTGTTAGAGTTTAGAAATTGGTGTTAAAAATAAATAAAAAAAAATCTAACAAATACAATTAACGAGACAAAGAAATTTAAATAAATTTGTTAAATTGTTAAGTGAGTGTGATTGTGAGTACATAAATGTGTAAGTATCTTGTATATGAGTTTGACTGTGTATTTATGTCATTTTTGGTGATATTATTTTGTTTAGTACAAGATTTTCTTAAATTAAATTAAAATTTTTTAAATATGCTTTAAAAAATGCGGTTTTTTGGAAATTTTGTGGAAATTTTTCTTTACAATTTACTCAATTACCAAAATGTTTAGAATACCCAACAAATGTGTTTATATTAGGTTAGTTCCTTTTGCTGGGTCTGGAAAAATGCAAAAACACAGTCATGTAACTAGACCAGTTAATAGATAAAAACACTATCTAAACAAAGGACGAAGGCCAATGATTAGTTCTTAGGCTAGTCTATAGATAAGTCCATATATTGATTCCAGGATTAATCTATAGAATTTTTCATAGATTGTTCCATAGACTTAACCAAATAATACTTAATGGATTACTCCATAGATCAGTCACTAGATTCATTTATAGATCAGACAGTAGAGTGGTCCATAGTGCAGTCAATAGACTAGTCCACAGCAAAATCCAGATATTACATCATAGACAAAACAATATAGTAGTGCTTGGACCTGTCAATAGTCTAGTATGTAGACTACTTCACGACTAGTCAATAGAATAGTCTATAGATTATACCTTATACTAGTCATATACCTATCAATAGACTTGCCTATATACTAGTCAATATATTATTCCATAGTCTTTTTAATAGTCCATAGAACAGACAATGTATTAATATATAATCTAACCTAAAGTGTAGTCCATATACTAGACAGTAGACTAGTTGATAGTCAAGTTCATAGTTTAATCAATAGAATAGTCTATAGTCTATTGAATAAACAAGTCCTTCTACTTGATCGAAAACCAGTCAAATAGATTATGATAGTCAATAGAGTGGTCCATATACTAGTCAATAAGCTAGTCCATATACTATAAGGACTAAACAGTATACTTGTCCATAGGCCAGTTAATAATAAAGTCCATAGTCTAATCAATAGACTAGTCCATATACTAGTCCATATATTAATCAATAAACTAGTCCACATACTGGTCAATAGACTAGTCCATGTACTATTTAGTAGCTAGTCCTTACATTAAATAGTAGACTAGTCCATAGTCTAGTCAATAGACTAGTCCATAGTCTAGCCAATATACTAGTCCATAGTCTAGCCAATATACTAGTCCATTGTCTAGTCAATAGACTAGTCCATTGTCTAGTCCATAGTCTAGTCAATAGACTAGTCCATAGTCTAGTCAATGGACTAGTCCATAGTCTAGTCAATAAACTAGTCCATGATCCAGACAATAGAGTAGTCCATAGTCTAGCTAATATACTAGTCCACAGTCTAGTCAATAGACAAGTTCATAGTCTACTCAATAAACTAGTCCATAGTCTAGCCAATATACTAGTCCATAGTCTAGTCAATAGACTAGTCCAAAGTCTAGTCAATAGACTACTCCATAGTCTAGTCAAAAGCCTAGTCAATAAACTAGTCCATATAGTAGTCAATAGACTAGTCCATATTCTAGAAAATAGACTGGTCCATATACTAGTCAATAGACTAGTATATAGTCTAGTCAATAGACAAGTCCATAGTCTTGTCAATAGACTAGTCCATATTGAAGTCAATAGATTAGTCGATAGTGAAGTCAATAGATTAGTCCAAAATCCTTTTCATTAATCTATAGATCAGACAATGTATTAATCGATAATCTAACCAAAAATCTAGTCCATATACCAGACAGTAGACTAGTCCATAGCGTGGTCAATAGACATGTCCATAGTCTAATCAATAGACTAGTCCATAGTCTAGTCAATAGACTAGTCCCTATACTAGACAGTAGACTAGTCAATAGACAAGTTCATAGTCTAAACCAATAGACTAGTCCGTAGTGTAGTAAATAGACTAGTCCTTATACTAGACAGTAGAATAGTCCATAGTCTAGTCAATAGGATATTCCAAAAGCAAGTCATTAGAGTACACTATATACTGGTCAATAGACTACTCCATATACTAGTTAATATTCAAGTCCATTTAATAGT